ATCAACGCGTTTCCCGAATATTTATAAATTAACAGCCGCTTTTTCCAATAAAATGAGTCTATAAAAAATTCTCTGCAATTTTTTTGTCGAAAGTTTATTATCAGAACAGATTTCTATATAACAATTTCCTCTGTTTCAAATTAACTTTTAAACGATTGATTTTTTGAATCTCCTATATTTTCCAAATTTCGAGATTCCAAGTTAATTAAACAAGAAATTTGGTTTCCAATCTTTCAAAGATCAAGACTCCTCGACCACTTTACTAATTTTCCAATCGTTCCAAAAATTCCAATATTCGATTTCAACCCGATCCAATCCAATCACGATAATCCTATCGTCGCTCGTAAGGGCCTAATTACACCAAGTTAATCGATTCCTAGAACGCTTAGGCAATCGATCACCCCCCCAAGATTACGATTTCCAACGAATGATACGTTACGTCGATTAAATACGTGACACGATACGAAAATAAATCTCTAAAGATCCTCGAATCTAGCCCGCGCCTTGTTGCGCGAGCCACGATCGTCGATTTCGATATCGCCGATCCGAAATCCAGCCTCCTCTTTCCGCGAGAGAAATTCCGTGTATCCTGTTATTCCTTCTACCCCTCCGCGTGTCGAACGGAACAGCGCATCTATTTATAGACGCCGAACGTTTATAAATATGGCAGATTCGAGGAGGAGATGGAGGGAACTGGATCCGCGCGCCGCTGGAAACTTTGGCGGGGAACACCTGAACCCGCGAAGAGAAGAGCGGGTTTTAAACGGAGCCAGCAGCGGGCCGGTGGCATTTCGAATCAAGTGGGCGCGTTATGCGTTCCACGCCGGTGGAAACTCGCGCGCGAAGATTTATCTTGGACCGGCTCGATCCTCGAGGCGCACGCTCGAAGTTTACTTACTCGGCTACCGTGGCACGATTCAGCGTTTCGAAAACTAGTTTTGCAAGAGGTGTATTAAGAGTGGGGTATAATCGGCCGCAGCGTGGGCCGATCCCCACAGATTTGCCTTCGATTAGACTTGGGTGACGTTGGATGGCGTATTGATTTATGCCAGTTGGCTACCCCGATGAAATAGGGTGTCGAGGATTTTATTTCGCAAATCTTGCTTTTGGTTGTTGAATTAGAGAGAGAATGGAAAATTTCTTCTGAATTATTTTAATTCTTATTTTGGACGAATGTTCGAATTATGAATACAATATTTTTGGAATTGTTAGTAAATATGATATAGTAGTAGGATTTTGATAGGGATATAAATCTTTGATCTTTTTTTTTTTTTTTATTCTTCAAATAGAATTCCGTTCGAAGATATTTAGAATTACTGGTCCGGGGTGTGTTGGAGTGTAGAAAGTATTTCCACGGGAAACGGCGGTTGGTTGTTTTATTCCGGCGGAGACATCAATGCGAATGGGGCAAAGGGGCCAAGGAGGTCTTCCAAGAATCGAGGAGGAGACTCGCTCATATGATCGCCACTGAAACCTTGAAACGCAAACCCGGACGGTTTCTAGAATTCGTATTCTTCTAACGAGTCCTCGAGATAAAGAGGATTCCTTTTAGAGACTATTCGAGGATAAAATTTCTCTCCAATCACGATTTACGTTTAAAATTCACGTGGAAAAAAAATTTCAATATTATTTTTTTCAAATTGTTTCTCGTCAATTTTATCACACGATTTTTCGTTTCTCGAATATAGAGATGAATCTTTGTTGTTTTGGGAATTTTGTTTCAAATTTGAGGGAAGGGAAGGAATTGAAGGTAAATAATTTTATCATTTTTTTTAATTTTGTCGAAATTCACCAGAATGAATTATTAGAAAATCTATTTTATTGCGAATTTCTAATACGTTCTTTTACCGTCTAATGAATGTTATCACGATTAGAGATTTTTAAATCATCGCAAGACTTTATCGTTAAGACTCGTTAGAATCGCACAATTTATATTAATTCTATGTTTATTCTATCTTGGCTAACTTCTTCACCGCTTTTTTTAAATTGATGAGTCATATCAGTAAGAAAAAGAAAAAAAATTATATTTGCAAAATTTCAAATAAATATATTCCTCATTATTTTGATAAACGTAATCATTATTCTTATATTGACTATTACGCTTTATATATAAAACGACTTTTTACAAAGATCCACTCGAGTGTACTAATTTAAAACACGTGTAATTACGAGTGTACGAATTTCCCGACGTTTTAATTAATTTCATCGTTTTCGTTTATTCAACTTGATGAATCGCGGATCAGATTGAATCTTTAACGTTTTACATCATTCTTTCTTATTTTTTTTTCGATATCATATTTTTCCACTCATCATTTCTTCTAATTTTCTAATTTTCTGAACCATGCGATACTTTTTTTTTTAAGCAAATTCAAGGGTTAAAGATCGTTCGATGCGCATAAGCGATACGATAACGCGGATCGTTAACGCAATGTCATGGTAATGGTGACATTGTGCATTGTCGTCCAAGGTCTTTGTACCAATCAAAATGATGATGACCGCAGTTGATCCGATTCTGGGAGCGATAGCGGTCGCGCAAACGTACAGTCTCCGTTAAAAGTGTTTAAGTGTCTCTCGTGTTCGAAATTTTTTATCTCAATGTTTATTTCATACGTTTAAAAAAATATATATAAATATACACTGTAAAATAAGATTTCAAAGTAATTACTTCGAACGAATACATAAACAGATCGTAAAAAATTTATTATCGATTCTCGATAAAAATTTTTAATGGCTCTGTCACGGTTTCGATTCATTAAAATATATAATTGATATTTATAGTTCGTATAATAACGAAGAAAGAAAACTGCATCGGGTTGGAAACGTTGAAAATACGGGAAAATAATTTAAAGGGAATGACGAAATTAGCCGTTTTACTACGTATACAATTGTTAAAAGCTGCGTTGGCATAAGTTACTTTTAAACCAGCTACGACGATTAACCAGCGCGAGGAGTGATTCAAGCCGATTACACGTGCGTTTCTTTTTTATTCTTTTATTTTTCCTTTAAAAATAGTAATCGATCGAATCGGTATCTCTTTCGCAATCTCTTTCCATATTTCTTCTTTCTTTGCAATTGAAAAAAATTACACATCGCACAGATTCGAGGTTTTAACCAACAAAATAAAGTTCTCGAATATTAATTTAATAATTAACAATAATAATATATATATTAATTAACAATATTAATATATTATATATAATTAATATATTATTATATATAATTAATATATTAATTAACAATAATTAATTTAATATAGAGATTTATTATTTCTAACTCTCAGCTCTTATCGTTTATATCATTCTAATAATAGGGTTATGCTATTTCTTTGTATGATTCAATCACGCAATCTTGTACGATCGGTCACAATCAGATATTTTTGGTTCAGTTTTAACTGTGCCTCGGTAATAAACTGTCGAGGGCAAGTCGAAACATTTTCGTTGATGATTTGTTTGCATCGTGTTCCCTCGTGTCGACATTCGACGGAAATGCGGCTAAGAAATTTCAAGGACTTTTCGATGGCCTTCGCCAGAATGCAGCACTCGCTTCAATGAAATGATCCATTGGTAGCAAACGCTTGCTACTCAGAGATGAAAGGTAATTAATCGACCATTCACGATAGAAAAATTACTAACACCTGCTAATCGTCGTACGTGTCTATTTTTTACGCGAACAATCATGCTTATAAATAAAATGCATACAATATTTTTTTAAAACCAGAATTCTCCCTTTTTCTTATCTCTCGATATTTTAATTTATCCGTAACATCGACTACTTTGATTAATAATTAATTTATAAGCGTAAAAATCTAGTACATGTCTTGTTTGGCTTATAATTCTAAAAAGATAAAAAAATATAAAAAAAAAAGTATATGCATAATTTATAACAGAATATATGTCGACGCAATATACTTATAAATAGTGACGAATCACCGTGTAGATAAAAAATTTATAAAAGTAGAACATTTTTTTTTTTCTCCATATTTTTTCGAAATTGTGAATATCTCGGTTCGATAAAATCGGGAAGAAAAACAAAGCTCGGCTAGCGTAAAATTAACGACATTTGACATGACGTGGGCGATGGCAATGGTCCAGCCAACTGGCGCCCGGAGTTTCATTCCATTTCCACTTTTTTCTTCTACATTCTGATCCATCCGCTCTTTGTGTAACTCTATAAATATAATACGACTTTTATGAAAGAGTAGCGAAACCTACCGCGCGCGAATCTTTCATAATCTTTCTGCTCGAGAATTTTCCATTGTTAATTTCACATTTAGAAATAGATTCATTTGTTCCTTTTTTTTTTTAATTACGAAAAAAAATACAATATTTATTTCAATACTGAATTTACTTTTTCTTTTTTTCTTCTTCTTTTTCCTTTTTTTAACTTTTCCTCTTTTCGTACAATTTTTTTTATCCTCGATGAAAACGTTTTTTAATTGCGGTCATATCTTCGCTTGTATCATTAACGCATGAATATTGCATCACATTCTCGATGCGACACGGTTGAATACAAATGATGTGGAACGTAAAAAATAACGTAGAAAGGTGAAAATATCTTCGGCCAATCTCTCGTTATTTTCGAGGAATATACCTGTGATTTTCCTCCGATAAGAAATCGGACGATTTTTCTCATGATGCTCGGATTATTGAGAAAAATAAATCTACGTTTGTTCTTGGCTCATCGCCCAAAGGTGGGAGTTTTAATAAACTGTAGACGAATCTGTTTTTGGCGTAACGCCTATTTTTGTGCCCGCTTTCGTTCCTCGCCGTCCTCTTTTTCTCTGATGATTGAACGATTACGTATTATTTATATCCATACCGTCTCTGTTTTTTTATTTTGTCTTGTTGTTTACTTTATTAGAGTGGGGCAACTTTTATTATCGATAAATATTGACATTGGACAATTGCGTTTGATCGCAAAATGCATTGAATAATCCATAATTCGCTTGCCAATTAATTCGTTTTGATACTTTTTTTCTTTTTAATACTTAAACGATTGTATATGAATCGAAATTATGAAATATATTATTTTTTCAAGAATGCATTGAATTAAACAATCCATAACTCGCTTGCCAATTAATTCGTTTTGATCTTTTCGATATTTAAACGATTGTGTGAATCGAAATTGTAAAATATATCATTTTTTCAAGAATGCATTGAATTAAATAATCCATAATTCGCTTGCCAATTAATTCGTTTTGATACTTTTTTTCTTTTTAATATTTAAACGATTGTTCGTGTGTGAATCGAAATTATGAAATATATCATTTTTTCAAGAATGCATTAAATTAAACAATCCATAATTCGCTTGCCAATTAATTCGTTTTGATCTTTTCGATATTTAAACGATTGAATCGAAATTATGAAATATATCATTTTTTCAAGAATATAAGGAGACTGTATACATGTGTATAAATATTCGAATTGAGATACATAATTAATGGAAACGAATTCATTGTGATTATCGGTTACCATTTACAAATGATCTCCATCTTCCGTTTAAAATTCTCGTCACAACTCAGAGCAGCAAAATTTATTGTCCGAAAATTACATCGTCGCTCGAGACGATTGCAAATTGATTCGAGAAGACGACGCATACTCTTCTCTGAAGACAACATTCGCTCTTTATAATCGCGAATTTTATACGACAACAATCAAGCAAGAATGAAAACGTCAGCCGATATAACGATGCTTCTCTTTTAATTGCGCTTCTCGACTCGAATGTCACTGAAACCATCTCGCGCGCACGATCTTTGAAACACCGCCTAACATGGATGAAAGATCCAAGAAGACGGAAAAGTGGGAGTTGACCTTCCGCCCATCTACAGAGAAACGCCTGCTCACTGGGTTACGATCATCCATGGGATCGATCGACATGCCCATAATAATTAACGATTTTATCGTGAATTATCATCGCCTAAGGGATCTTAATTTGGATATATATATATATATATATATATA